TCCTGGTTTAGTCCTGGTTTAGTCCTGGTTTAGTTCTGGTTTAGTTCTGGTTTAGTCCTGGTTTAGTCCTGGTTTAGTCCTGGTTTAGTTCTGGTTTAGTCCTGGTTTAGTCCAGGTTTAGTTCTGGTTTAGTTCTGGTTTAGTTCTGGTTTAGTTCTGGTTTAGTCCTGTTTTAGTCCTGGTTTAGTTCTGGTTTAGTCCTGGTTTAGTTCTGGTTTAGTCCTGGTTTAGTCCTGCTTTAGTCCTAGTTTAGTTCTGGTTTAGTTCTGGTTTAGTCCTGGTTTAGTCCTGCTTTAGTCCTAGTTTAGTTCTGGTTTAGTTCTGGTTTAGTCCTGGTTTAGTCCTGCTTTAGTCCTAGTTTAGTTCTGGTTTAGTTCTGGTTTAGTCCTGGTTTAGTCCTGGTTTAGTCCTGCTTTAGTCCTAGTTTAGTTCTGGTTTAGTTCTGGTTTAGTCCTGGTTTAGTCCTGGTTTAGTTCTGGTTTAGTTCTGGTTTAGTCCTAGTTTAGTTCTGGTTTAGTCCTGGTTTAGTCCTGGTTTAGTTCTGGTTTAGTTCTGGTTTAGTCCTGGTTTAGTCCTGGTTTAGTTCTGGTTTAGTGATGAGTTTATAAAAGTTTTTCACTACTTTCGAGGGCACAACAGACATTTTGACCTCGAGCTGCACTGGGACAAGACAAAAGAATCCAGTGCAGGGCTTTAAAAATGTCTCTAATGTGCAGAAATAAGAAATGTTTTATATTTGTATGTGTTTTTGTCAGAACTGCTTCCTGGAGTGTGCCTACCAGTACGACGACGACGGGTACCAGTCTTACTGCACAATCTGCTGTGGAGGGAGAGAGGTGCTCATGTGCGGAAACAACAACTGCTGTCGGTGTGTACTTTTAAATACACACATCTCGTATCAAAGTACTTGTACATATAGAATTTACTACTAAACCATTTCTGTGTGTGGATAGAGTCGTGGGAACGTACATGTAGAATCAATAATTAGTATTTAAGAACCTGAGCATTGGCTGGAACAGTTTGGTGCGGTCTGTTGGTTTAAACAGCAAATGTCTCTCTCTGATCTGAACAGTCACAACCTAAACCCCAGCAGTACTAAAAGAATAAAACAGAGCAAATAATATATAAATAAAAAATAAATAAAAGACACAGAGGACCACACAACTGACGCGGTGTTAAAAGCCAGAGAATAAAAGTGGATCTTGTATGAAGGATTTTTTTGTTGTTGTTTCAGATTGTCAATGAAAGTTCAAAATAGTATTATAAAGATGCAGCCGCCTTGTAATTATGATGACCAAAAAAAAGAGTGAAACATTAGATAATGAGGCTATCTTGTTATCTATTGGCTGTTAGGTTGTCAATCAAACTCCCTACACATGTAGTGTAACTGGCTCGTGCACTGACATTATGTGGTTTACATTCACCTCTCACACATTCCACATACACAGGACACGTTTACTCCGTTTACTCGACCAACACAGCGGTTCTTAGTGGCTTTTTCCAACTGTAGCTTCCTCACTGTTAGCCCAAAGTTTGTTGCAATGGCAGGCTAGAATCCACGACCAGTTCACCGCAAAAGAAAGTGAAGAAGAGAAGGGAAAAAGGAGGGAAGCCAAACTGAAGAGATTCCTTCCAGCGATGGTCTGCACTGAAGCAGACGAAGGCTCTAAAGACTGACACGTTTGTCGCTAAATGACTTCAGGATAAGAAAGTTCAACAGCAATTCTTTCAACAATTCTGAAAGTGCACCAGCTGTAAACAAGCAGGATTTCTAGAGTAAGGAGGAGGCATTTCTACTTAGGGAGCTGTGTGTGTGTGTGTGTGTGTGCGTGTGGGAAATACAGTGACTGTTTGAAAAAGAACAAACAGTCGCTGTATTTCTCTGTTCTTGGAAAATCCTCTAACAACCTTTAAGACAAGATTTAAAACACTCCACTGTGTAGCTGATGTCCTCCTCTTCCTCTTCCTCTTCGTCAGGTGTTTCTGTGTGGAGTGTGTGGACCTCCTGGTGGGCTCTGGAGCTGCTCACGCTGCCATTAAAGAGGACCCGTGGAACTGTTACATGTGCGGGCCCCGGCCTCAGTCTGGGCTCCTGCAGCGGAGAGACGACTGGCCCTGTCGACTGCAGCACTTCTTCGCCAACAACCACGACCAGGACTTTGTGAGTGAAACGGGAAGCAGAACTAAACTCTAAAAATGCAGTGGGATGGTTTTAAAGTTGAGTTGTCCTCTGTTGTTTCAGGACCCTCCAAAGCTCTTTGCTCCTGTGATGGTGGAGAACAGGAAGCCCATCAGAGTGCTGTCTCTGTTTGACGGCATCGCAACAGGTGACGGATCTTTCTTATATTTATCCAAACTGAATCACTTTTTACTTCAAACTTAAAACCTGACTCACACCAGACTGATTTGTGCAGCTCTCACATCAATCTGGATGTGAGATCCGTATTCCTACAGATCTTGGTTTTCAATTCAGTTTTCTTCCATTTTATTAAAAACATGCATAAAGAGCAGGGTGTCAGGATCACTACAGATTTAAATTTTGTACTGATAGGACTGATAATTCATTATTAATTTATTAATGATTAATTGTTGCATTTATATAGCATCTTTCAAGAGACCCAAAGCACGTTACAGTTCATTGTTTATTCACTCCACACTCAGTGGTGGTAAACTGTTACCATCAGCCCCTTCAACCAACACCAACACTCACACACACACCACTTTCATACTAGGCAATGTAGGTGAAGTGTCTTGCCTAAGGACACAATGGCAGTTTTTTTGTGACTGGTGCCTCCTGTGCCTCCTGATTTTCCCAGTGTCTCCATCCAAGTCCTGACCAGACCTAACCCTGCTGAGCGTCTGAGATCTGACAAGATCAGGCTTTGACAAACCGGTCTGGTCACACAAATGACAGAGAAATCAGTTTTTTGTTTGTTGAAATAACAAACTGTTTTCCCATTTTATTGTTTTTCGTTCTTCATTGAAATTCAAAAGAATGAATGGCACACGGACCATCCACATTTAAAGTTTGAAAAGAGTTTGTACAATATATTAAACCTAATGCACAACTGAAACAGAAACATGTGTGATGTCTGTGCACGAAACAAGGTCAGACATTTTACTCATAAACTGTGAGAAAATAGTCGTTTACTTTCTATAATTTGGATTATAAAGATGAGAAGCACCAGAGGAGAGAAAAAGGAGAAAAGACTTAGAGTTAGTTTATTTGTCATTTGCAGTATAAAAGCACACTGGTGAAGGAGTGTGAGAAGTGCACATTCACACACACATTCAAACAGACAAATGAAAACATGTTAAAAACACAAACCACACAATATGAACACAAGACTCCATTAAAGCTTCATTTAGTCAAACTGTCAACTTGTGAACACTGACGAGACATAAAGAGACTGAGCTCTGTGGCTCAGGCTGCTTTTTCCTAAATGAGCGTAAATCCTCGTCTGCTCCAAGTACAGATCTGTGTCACAGCCCTAATGACTAATACTTGAATGTGATTGGCTGAAGTGTCAGAACAGCAGAACAAACTGAACATCAAACTTTTGTTGAATCCAGTTGAGAGAAAAACAGACATTGTTTTGAGATACTCTCTATAGAATATTCAGAATTATTGCTAAGTCTAAGTCAGATTGAAACACAAACCGACGTGTAACCCCCCCCTCATGTGTGTGTGTGTGTGTGTGTGTGCCCGCAGGCCTGCTGGTGCTGCGTGAGCTGGGCATACAGGTGCAGAAGTACGTGGCATCAGAGGTGTGTGAGGACTCCATCACCGTGGGCATCGTCAGGCACCAGGGGCAGGTCATGTACGTGGGCGACGTGCGCACCGTCACCAGGAAACATGTGAGTATAAAACCAGGAAACATGTGAGTATAAAACCAGGAAACATGTGAGTATAGAACCAGGAAACATGTGAGTATAAAACCAGGAAACATGTGAGTATAGAACCAGGAAACATGTGAGTATAGAACCAGGAAACATGTGAGTATAGAACCAGGAAACATGTGAGTATAAAACCAGGAAACATGTGAGTATAAAACCAGGAAACATGTGAGTATAGAACCAGGAAACATGTGAGTATAGAACCAGGAAACATGTGAGTATAAAACCAGGAAACATGTGAGTATAAAACCAGGAAACATGTGAGTATAAAACCAGGAAACATGTGAGTATAAAAACCAGGAAACATGTGAGTATAAAACCAGGAAACATGTGAGTATAAAACCAGGAAACATGTGAGTATAGAACCAGGAAACATGTGAGTATAGAACCAGGAAACATGTGAGTATAGAACCAGGAAACATGTGAGTATAGAACCAGGAAACATGTGAGTATAGAACCAAACATAGTATAACAGGAAACATGTGAGTATAAAACCAGGAACATGTGAGTATAAACCAGGAAACATGTGAGTATAAAACCAGGAAACATGTGAGTATAGAACCAGGAAACATGTGAGTATAGAACCAGGAAACATGTGAGTATAGAACCAGGAAACATGTGAGTATAAAACCAGGAAACATGGTTTAGTCCTGGTTCAGTCCTGGTTTAGTCTAAATTCAACCCTGGTATAGTACTGGTTTAGTTCTGGCTTAGTCCTTGTGTAGTCTTAGTTTAGTCCTGTTTTAGTCCTAGTATAGTCCAAGTTTTGTCCTGGTTTAGTTCTGTTTTAGTCCTAGTGTAATCCTGGTTTAGTCCTAGTTTAGTCCTGGTTTAGTCCTAGTATAGTCCTAGTTTAGTCCTGGTTTAGTCCTAGTTTAGTCCTGGTTTAGTCCTATTTTAATCTTGGTTTAGTCCTGGTTTAGTCCTGGTTTAGTCCTAGTTTAATCTTGGTTTAGTCCTAGCATAGTCCTAGTTTAGTCCTGGTTTAGTCCTGGTTTAGTCCTGGTTTAGTCCTGGTGTAGCTCTTGTGTAATCAGGTTTAGTCCTGTTTATTTATTTTAGACATTGACAGGCATTTGAAATAAAACTATGCAGAAAAATGATGTATATTAAGTGTCTATCTAGACGTATTTTCCATAATATCTTATCTCTGGAACAGTCTGAGACTTTCTTGTCGTTGTTCAGATCCAGGAGTGGGGTCCGTTTGACCTGGTGATTGGAGGAAGTCCCTGTAACGACCTGTCCATCGTCAACCCAGCTCGAAAAGGTCTCTACGGTATGCTCTTGTTCACATCTTGACCTGTCAGTGCGGCTTTAGTTTCTCACTCGTGTGTTGTATGTTGTGTGTGTTTGTGTATTTCCAGAGGGCACGGGGAGGCTCTTCTTTGAGTTTTATCGTCTTCTTCACGAAGCTCGACCGAAGGAGGGAGATGACAGACCGTTCTTCTGGCTCTTTGAAAACGTGGTGGCCATGGGAGTCAGTGACAAGAGGGACATATCACGATTCTTAGAGGTACAGAACTATTATCAGTAGTCCTGGTTTAGTCCTGATTTAGTCCTGGTTTAATCATTAAGTCCTGGTTTAGTCCAAGTTTAGTTCTGGTTTAGTCTGAGTTTAGTCCTGATTTAGTACTGATTTAGTCCTGGTTTAGTCCTGGTTTAGTCCTGGTTTAGTCTGAGTTTAGTCCTGGTTTAGTACTGATTTAGTCGTTGTTTAGTCCTGGTTTAGTCCAAGATTAGTCCAGTTTTAGTCCTGGTTTAGTCTTGGTTTAGTCATTGTTTAGTTCTGGTTTAGTCTGAGTTTAGTTCTGGTTTAGTCGTTGTTAAAGGTTGTATAGAGGATTTTCCAAGGAACGAGAAATCCAGCGACTGTTTGTCCTTTTTCAAATGTTGCGCATGCGTGAAACCCCCCCCCCTCCCCTACAGCTCCTACGTAGAAACGCCTCCTCCCGCCTCCTCCTTACGCCACAAACAGGTTTGTTTACAGCCGGTGCTGCACATGACTTGTAAACAACTAACTACAGTGTTGGTTAGGCAACGGAGAAGTGAGGAGCGGGGGAAGGGGGGGCACGGACATTTCGTGCGCGGACGAGAAGTGAGGAGCAGGGAGAAGAGCGGAGCAGGGAGCAGGGAGAGAGGAGAGAGGAGAGAGGAGAGGGAGAGAGGAGCGGTGCGCGGAGATTCCGTGCCCGGAGAAGTGAGGAGCAGGGAGAGGAGCGGATCGGGCAGCGGGGACAGGAGCAGGAAAGGGGAGCAGAGAAGAGTGCACGGAGATTCAGTGCAAATGAACTAGCTACAACACGCAGCAGCAAGCGGACTCTTTCTTTGCCTTGAAAATTACATTTTCAGACATACGATATCGCTTTCGTGTCCTGAAAACGTTTGTCTCGCTCTTGGAAATAAAGTAGGTTTTCATAATAAGCAGAAGTTTCCTGTCCAGGAGTCATTTGTGGACCAGTGTGTCAGTCTTTAGACCCTGCGTCTGCTTCAGTCGCGGAATCGCTGGAATGAATCTACAAGAATCACCTTAGTTTGGTTTCGCTGCCCTTGTCTTCTTCTTTCAGCAATCTCAAAAACGGACTTTCTTTTGCGGCTAACTGCTCCTGGATTCTTGTCGCCATTGCAACAAACTTTGTGTTAACTGTGAGGAAGATATAGGTCAAAAAAGCCGCTAAGAACTGTTGCGTTGGTGGAGTAAACAGCGTCTGTGCGTCTGTGGACTGCGTGACAGGCGTACGTAAACCACGTACCGGCGGCGCAGGCAAGTCAGTTACACTAGAAACGTAGGGAGTTTGATTGACAGCCTGTCAGCTAACAGATAACGAGGCAGTGTCGTTATCTATTGGCAAATGTTTAGCCCCACCACGTCCAGAGTTGATGAATTTCTATTCTCTTTTTTTTTTGGTCATCATAATTACAAGGCTACTGCATCTCTATAATCTATCATTGACAACTTGAAAAAAAAAAAAAATCCTCCATACAACCTTTAAGTCCTGGTTTAGTCCTGGTTAGTTCTGGTTTAGTGCTGATTTAGAACAAGTTTAGTTTCTTTTAGGTGTGGTTTAGTTCAAGTTCAAGTAAATTTAGTGATGGTTTAGTCCTGGTTTAGTCCAAGTTCAGCCCTGGTGTAGTACTGGTTTAATCCTGATTTAGTCCTAGTATAGCCCTAGTTTAGTCTTGGTTTAGTCCTGATTTAGTCCAAGATTACAATTTTAGGCCCAGTTTAGCCCTGGTCCATATCGATTTGTTTAAGTTTGTAAAATAAGTAGAAAACACTGTAAATGTTCTTTAAAGTCATTATCGTGTAATCTGTCCTGTGAGTGTGTGGTGTTAGTGTGAGTCTTGTGTTTGTTTCCAGTGTAATCCGGTGATGATCGATGCGAAGGAGGTTTCTGCGGCCCACAGAGCCAGATACTTCTGGGGAAACCTGCCTGGAATGAACCGGTCAGTCAGAGTTTATCTGTTCACTTATATTTATGTACCATGATGTCATTGTAAAATACTTTTGATATATTTCATCACACTTCAAATCAGGGCTGGAAAATGTACTTGATTTTGTTACTTTTGTTACTAAGCAAAAACAAAACTCAAGTATAAAAGTATCACATGAAAATATCTACTCAACTCAGTATTAAAGTACCTGTTTAAAATTGTAAGTAAAAAGTAAAAGTATTTCACAGATTTTGAGGTCTTATAAAACTTCAGATACAGATTTATACAGATTTGATTTGATACAGAATTATTCTGAATTTTGTTCAATAGAAACAATTGTTTTTTGTTTGGTTTTTTTTTTGTTTTTTCCATCTGTTTTTCTTGGTATATTTTTGTTGCTCAAATTATGAACATGTTCAAAATAAACTCTCAGCCTTTTCAGCAGATCTCAAAAATTAAAAAAAATACTTTTACTTTTCAGTGCTGTTAAAAATGTATTAGAGTACACAGTAAAAAATATCCACTATAAAATGTACTTAAGTAAAGTACCGATACCTAACATTTTTTGCTCAAGTACACTACTTTAGTACTTTTACTTTGTTACGTTCCAGCGGTGTTTAAAACACTTTCAAATACTTCCCTCAGGCCCCTGACTGCCATGTCCACAGACAGACTGGATCTGCAGGACTGTTTAGAGCACGGACGCACTGCAAAGGTAAAAACATCACTTCATTTAAGAGAAATAATCCATCCTTATTTTACTTTTATCATAATTATAAAGAACTGGTGCTTTATTGACCTTTTAGGACAGGCCCAGTCTCTTTACATTACAAATCTCTTGCCCAAGGACACAACAACAGAACACAAGATGCTTTGGTGATTGGTGGCGGTCAGACTTTACCACTGGAGTAAATTAAAAGTAAAGATTACAGCAGGAGTGGGCAATTCATTTATCCATAGGACCACATGAGAAACAGAAAATACTATGGAGGCCAAAATGCTTCACTCAATTCTGCACAATATTCATTGTATTTCTTTATAAAAAAGCAGTAAATCTCATTGTTTAAACGAGCTGCTCAGACTGGGAAGAGTTTCTGTTATAAACAATGAAAAAGTGAGACTGCCAAACAAAAAATGTCATTTAAAAAACACCTCTATAATAAAAGCAATGCAGCTTTAGTGCGTGCATGTGGTAAAATGTATTTATTTTATAATTCCAAATGAGTTTAAAGGGGCAGGTCAGAGTCGACTAAAGGCCTGTATGTGTGTCTGGAGTCTGGATTACAGTGTAATCCCTGTTATAAATCATCATTATCTTTTTACTTGACTTTTCCATTTAAATGAAGTAAGACTTGAGCAGACACACAGTGTGTGAGACTTTTACTCCCTCTAGTGGCTGAAGAAGTAGTCGACCTTGTGATAGTTCAGTTCTATTACCATGTGAAATTTCAATATAATAATAGTAGATTACAGTGATGATTATAATAAATCCATAGACTGTTTATACAAACAGACACAGCACTGTGTTCCAAACAGGAAGTGAGCATGGGAGCACTTCTGGCTCCATCGATTGTGACTTCAGTTCACTTTATACTCAAAGATTATCTCTATCTATCTCTTTCTCCTTTAGTTCACTTCCTTATGCAGCAGTCTATGCATAAACTCAGCATTAAAATATTTGGTTAATGGTAAGTAAATTTTGTTTGTTTGTTTGTTTGTTTCTTCAGTTTGACAAAGTCCGGACGATCACGACTCGCTCCAACTCCATCAAACAAGGAAAAGATCAGCACTTCCCTGTGTTCATGAACGAGAAGGAAGACATCCTGTGGTGCACCGAGATGGAGAGGTAGAGACAGATTCATTTAAAAAAAAAAAGATAAAATTTATGTCAGGAATCTTACAAATGTAATGTTGTTTACCATGTACAGTTTATGTGACTTGTGCTGGGGAACATGTGATTTGTTTTCTAAGATTCACTTTGCTCTCTTTCTCTCTGTCTCTACTCTCCCCCTCCATCCTTTTCTCTCTTCCTCCCTTCACCTCTTCATTCGTCTTTCTCTCTCTCTCTCTCTCTTTCTCATGTGTCTCTCATCCCTCCATTCTTCCCTCCTCTCTCTTTCTTTCCTTTCATCTCCTCTCGTCCTTTCCACACTCCCTCTCTCCCTCTCTCTGCCTCTCTCAGGATATTTGGTTTTCCGGTGCACTACACAGACGTTTCAAACATGAGTCGTCTGTCCCGTCAGAGGTTGCTGGGGCGATCCTGGTCTGTCCCCGTGATCCGGCACCTCTTCGCTCCTCTCAAAGATTATTTCTCCTGCGTCTGAGGTGAAATCATCCCAATACTCTCAGTCTGATCTCAGTCTGATCTCAGTCTGATCTTACAGAAGAACGGTGACATTGTCCTGAATTACAAGTCTGGGAAGTTTAAGTACAGGACATCACTACAGTTTGTGTATTCACTGTTGAGCTCTGGTGTGGTGTGGTTTACTTTTCAGCAACAACAAAAAGACAAAAATTACTGTCTATATTACAACCAAAATATGTGAAAACAAAGTGAATGGACCATAAAATGAACACTTTAAAGTCTAGATAAATGACTTAAGACTATAGTTTGAAAGATTACACTGCAAGTTTGGTTTATTTTTTTAATGGATACCAACTTTTTCAATATATGTTCCACTTCTACCTCAGAGGTGCAGTCCGTGGGCTGTGGGGGAGTGAGGTGTGTGTCTCATTTTAATTTAAAATCATGGCAATATTAGCAGACTTGTAATATGAACCAAATAAATCATTTTCTAAGACTTTGTAAAAATAATTCTGGCGATATGTGAATCACAGGCACAACAAAGCCTCTCAAGCTGCTACATTCTACTCCTCTTACTACTGTTGTTGGTGAAATGTCTTGCACAAGGACACAACAACACATTTGGTTTGGTGGATGAGCTCTCCACACACGGAACATCTATTCTCGCCATTTTAGGAAAGTTAAATTACTTTTTTTATCTATTTTACCTTCCATCTATATTTACAATCTGTTGCAAAAATCTATTGCAAAAATATTGAATGAATTTTTTTAATGATAGGCCTGCCCATAAATACTCCAAACTTTGACATCCTTGTCCAGTCAAAGTCAACTTTTGAACAGCTTCACACTTTTATAATGAAAAAACTCAGAACTTATGATGCTGCAGTGATCCCACCCACACCACACCACTCAAAATGCCTTTATTTAAAAAATAAAGCCTTATTTCCAAATGTCCTGTCAAATTTTGTCCCAATATTTCCACTTCCCAGACTTTTTTTTCATCAGTGGCACCAGCCCTTCTCCATCTTTTACAAACCACAACTTCCAATGTTGTGTCACAGCCTTGAAACGCAGACTCCGCCTGCACCCAGGACGAGTTTGTCCGATTTTGACGTAGTTTTTACATTATTACGACTTGTATTTTGAATTGTAATTTTTATTCTATTTAATTTTGTTTTGTCATTTTACCTTTTAGCAGTGTTATACAAGGATTGTTGATTTTTTATTATTGGTGCGAGATACATTTGGGAGACTATGCTTTCTTCTCCAGACACTGAATCTGAAGGTGCTATTTCCATGTACTGTTCATACTCCGCTGGAAAAATATAGGAATTCTGAATTGGGACAAGGGTGGTTCAAAATACACACTTGAATTCAAGTTCTTGACAGACATTGTGAAACTTTTTATATATTTTGATCCCAATAATTTGCTAAGATTATGGATGATTTGTTTCATCAGATTTAGAATTTTAAATGCTGTTTTTCACTTTGATTTTTTAAACTCTGAAAAAACATGTTTGAATTATTTTTATTCTGAACTTTAGTCGGTGAAATTTGAAAGTGTGAAAGTGTGAAAGTGTTTAAAATTCAGAATAAAAATGTCCCGTTTTAAATATTAGTACAAATATTTTCAAGCCCTCAAATTCAAGTCAAAACTCAGAGTGTAAAATTTGTAGTGAAAAAATTTGCAGGAAAGGTCCAAGATTAAAGTGACGTTTTTATTTAGAATTTTAAACAATTTGAAAATGTACACTTAAAATTTCAGCAACTAAAATTCAGAATAAAAATAATTCAAACATCTTTATTTAGAGTTTAAAAATTCAAAGTGAGAAACTCAGTTTAATTTAAAATTGTAAATCTAATGGAACAATGATCTTCCATAAGGACTGTTGTTTTAGACGGAGGGCAGGCTCTGATTTTAGAGAACAACTGAAACATATTTTTAAATACATATATGGACAGAAAATTCACAATTCAGGGTTGTCAAAAATATAAAAAATCAGATACTAATCCAAACTGAAACTAATATTGAGACTAGATACTCATTTATCGCAGGTATCGATACGAAAAAAAAAAAAAAAAAAATCACATCTCATTTCATATTGTCAATATAAAACTTTTGTAAACCAAAAATGAAGTAAGTAAGAGTAAAGTTACTTCAATAAAAATCTGATAGAACCAAGATTCCAACTGTACAATCCACAGGTCCCTAAGTTCTACTTGTGCAGTAAAAATAGTATTGATATCTCCCCAAGTAAAAGTACGCTGCCAGAAAAGTACACTATAAAGTACAATTTGTAAAAAGTTAAAAGTTACTTGAGTAAATGTAACTACTGCACTTGTTTTCTCTTCCTACTGTGAGTAAGAGTACTGTTACTTCAATAAAAATATGACTCAAGTAGTAAGTAAAAGTAAAAGTACACTGCAAGAAAATTACCCTTAAAGGTGTGTAGTACTCAGTTGTGTTTACTTAAGTAACTTTTTACTTTTTTAGAATCAGTACTTTTAATAAAGAAAATGTTTGATTTGAGTAAATTTCACTTAAAACACTGTAACTTTTCCGCTAGAGGACTCACAGGGACTCGTCTAAATGCAGATGCTTTACTCCAACATCCCCTAGTGTGGCTTTAAACTTTTCAGTCTCCATGGAAACAAGCATGAGACGCCACCTGGGCTCTTTACAGGTGAGGTCTGTGAAGAGGCGACCCCACTCAGTCAGAATGTGAGTTTTTAAGTAATTTTTTATCAATAAAAACACCCATGACTGAATAAATGCATTAATACCAATCCGCTGCTTTATTCTACAGTTTATTCTCATACAAAACCTGAACCACAGCCTGTTTTTTTATTATCACTGTGGATTCAGAAACAGTATTGAGTTTGAAGTCTATTCTTTAGTATCGAAATCAGATTTGAAACATTATCATGATGCCACAAGCCTCTGCCCTCCATCGAAAATTATAAGAAAAGCAAATGATAGAAGATGAACACAACTACTCCAGAAGTTTCACAGTGTCTGGATCTGTTTGTCGAGAAGAGAAGGCCCATAGAAAGTGTCTGTAGTCGTCAGCGTCTCTGATCCAAACACATCACATACCTCTGTTTTACTGTTTCTACACACGTGAATATGGTACTACTGTAATGAAACATGGTGCTCTGTGGACCGAGGGAAACTGCACTTCTCATGTGGCTCAAGTCAAGACAATATCCCCATTTACACCGAGTCACAGACGCACTTCACTTTGGTCTAAGACTCTTCAAATATCACTGTTTATGCTCTGGAGCCATCATTTCAAATGACAAATACAAGAGGCGTTAAACCAGACCAACTAGGTCTATCCCAGAACCAAACAAGAACTAAATCCAGACTAAACCAGGTCTAAACCAGGACTAAACTAGGACTAAACCAGGACTAAACTAGGACTAAACCAGGACTAAACCAGGTCTAAACCAGGACTAAACTAGGACTAAACCAGGACTAAACTAGGACTAAACCAGGACTAAACTAGGACTAAACCAGGTATAAACCAGGACTAAACCAGGTCTATCTCAGAACCAAACAAGAACTAACCCCAGATTAAACTAGGACTAAACCAGGACTAAACTAAACCAGGACTAAACCAGGTCTATCTCAGAACCAAACAAGAACTAACCCCAGACTAAACTAGGTCTACACCAGGACTAAACCAGGTCTCAGCTGCTTCATACAGATTCCAACCACTGCTGACCAGACACACTGCACAAGAGCTGCAATAAACTAGGACTAAGTCAAGACTAAACCAGGACTAAGTCAAAACTAAACCAGGACTAACTCAAGACTAAACCAGGTCTAAGACAGGTCTCAGATAGATCACAACAATCACATAAGAGCTGTATGAAACCAGGAGGACTAATACAGAACTAAACCAGGACTAAACCAAGACTAAACCAGCTCTGATATTGACAGTTTTGGTGGATTGGAAATCGGCTTCTGAGATGTCGATTCAGCCGATATCCTGTTTTGGTTTATAAACTGTTGTAATAAGACGATTTACAGGACAGTTTGGCCCAAAACATCTCATCATATTAAACTTGTATTTTACGACTTTACTGTTGTGAAATTACAAACCACATTGGATCATTTTACCTTCTGCTGTTTGTCACGGTCAATTCAAGGCTGTTCACTTAGTTTCACTGTAGACTTGTTATAAGTGACTTTATGCTGATGAGCTTTTCCAGTGACAAACACAGAGCCAGAGCTGCGTTTGAGAATAAAAGGATCAAACTGAAGCGTGTCTGTCTCTCGGTGGATCTGAGGCGTTTATGGACCTTTATACCTGGTGCTGTACTGTTTTTCTAGTTTTTCGTAATAAACTTTGAACTGTAGACTTTAAGCATATCCTTAATCTTCTGCTGCAGCTAAGACATGGTGCTCACTGCCTTTGGACCTGCACAACCGCAAAGCCACATGGGAAATGTAGTTTACCCCTGTCAATAATATACTTAAGATGGCTACTTTTTCTACTTTTGACCAATAAGATTTTACTGTAACGACTGCGCTGAAAATCCTCAAAAATCAATGGTGCGTCAACTCACGGTTCTACTTTTTATAACTATTTGTGCTGTTTTATCGACATTATAAAGCACTTTTTGATATGTACACTTTCTTTAAAGGGCCTGTGTTACGCCATTCTCTGATCTCTGCTCTAATGTTGTTCCCTCATCACACACACACCTGGAGCTGTGTTTTGTTTCAGTCACACGTTTAACACACAAACCCTTCTTCTCTCACACTGAAAACACCCTGTTCCACCTTGTGATGTCATGAGGTAATACAGGAAGTGCTCCACTGTGTTTTTAAATACATCTGCACTAGAATCACTTGGATCATTTGTGCCCTGGAATTGCCAGTCTCTATATAGTTGTCTCTAAATAGTTTGCAAAGAAGTGAAGTTGTAACTACATTTTAGGTGTTTCAGATGTATTAATTATTATTAAGCCTGAAAATGCAGATTGTATGCTCCATTTCCTGTTTATTTTCCAAGCTGCATCTGCGCTTTTTTTTCTGCTCTATTAACCCGAGCAACTTGATGTATAAAGAAAAGACAATATGAAACACAAAAGGACATTTTGATCAAGATAAATGTTGAATTTGAGTGTCCAGATCATGTCATTCTGCTCATTGTTCCCTACTGAAAGATTCAATCATTTTATTAACTGTTATTAATAATATTAGGTCACAGTGACATACAATGTAATTTAATATTTAATTAAAACAATTTGGTTAAAAACAATAAAAAATGTTAATTGAATGTGCAGAAATTCAGAGAATTGCATCTAAAAAAATTTAATTATAATTAAGTAGGTGTATAACTTTTTTTAAAATTATTTAGGAATCCTTTTTTTTTTTTCATTATTATTAATTTGAGCATTGGGGTTTAGTGTGTACTGAACAAAATGTAAAAAGTAGATGTTAACTTGAAAATTATTACTTCATGACATCACAAGGTGGACCAGAGCAGTTGGAGCTTTGGAGATGTAGAAAGACTAATAAAAAGCTTCAACAAACCCCAAGTCCAGGTGTGTTTGTGAGGAGGGAACAACATTCTCACACGACTTAAAGCTCACAAGAGTCAGTTTTTTTGCGTACTAGAGGACCTTTAATTTTCTTGTTTTTTTAAGATATTGTTTTCTTGTGATTTTGTTTTAATGATGTGAACTATCTGGTGTAATACTTTTGTAAACAGTAGGGCTGTGCCATTAGAAGTCAGCAGATGAATTCAATTGAAACTATGTGAAATGATGTATTGGACTTGTTGTACAGTTGATGTGTAATTTTGTGTTTAATTTTGACCATTTTTCATATTGTTTTCTGTTCAAAAGCAGAAATGCAGTATGTTTAACCAGGGCTGCACAAGAACTAATGAAGCTTAAGTCTATGTATATTCAAACAAGAGATCGGGAGTCGAACCCACAACCTCCTGACTGAGAAGAGGGGACAGGCTAACCACTCTGCCACAGGAACACAGGTAGAACATGCACGCTCCACTCAAAAGAGATCAGGAGTCTAACCCACAACCTCACTGCCGATTGTACTGTATCTGTACTGTTGTCTGACCACTACCAAGTGTGTGTAAAGTGTCTTGCCCAAGGACACAACAAATACTCAAGAACACAACACATACTCATACTCTTAAAGCAGGATTCAAACCGTCAACCTAAAGGCAATAAAGTTGGTTAAAGGTGCATTGTGTAACTTTACTGGTGGAGGGTCTGTTTCTATGCTTGTTCCTATGGAGATATCAATGCTCTGCTTGGAATGTTCCACAGTGTGACATTAAATAAATACCTCAAAAAACAGACATTGTGACTGTGAGCGGGGTCGCCGCTCCACAGATCTGACCTGTAACTTGGTCTGGTTTGGTCTCCGTGAAGATAGAAAGATTTCCTTATGGAAAAAAAGCATTTGACAGACCCTCCACCAGAAAAGTGACACAGCGCGGCTTTAGTAGTGGTCAAGTACATTTAGCACAACATGACATCAGAGTAAGTGGAGCGTCGTCGTTGTCGTGTGAAAAGTCCAGTTTGGTGCAGCCCTGGTTCAGCCCGTGTTAAGAATGTTTATCTCTCTAAGATTGTAAAAACAGAGTGAATTGTGCTTTGTATAATATTTGTCCTTTTTGACGGACAGCTCTGCCCAAACCATCCTTGTTTTGGCTAATTATAAAGGTGCAATGCGGAACTTTTCTGGAAGGAGACTAGGAGATGTCACTGCTTTGTCTGGAATGTTCATGTATCATCATTCAAGTGAAAAACATTACATCTCCATGGATGTAGATGAGTTTAATGCCATACTGTGGGACATTCCAGGCAAAGCAATAACATCTCCTTGGAGACGAGCAAGTAGCAGACCTTCCACCAGAAAAGTTACACAGTGCACCTTTAACTTCTGATCCAAAATTTGGATTGAAATTCTCACAAAAACATGAATTTCGAGAATTTAAAGTTTGTCAAAACAAAAAACTGACATAGTGTTGAGCGAAATATCGGCACTCAAAGAATTAAACAGATAATATTAACTATAAGCTATTTAAGAATTTGAATTTGAAATTAATTTAAAGTAATTTTAAGTGACCTTATTCCCCAGCCTGACCAGCCATATTTATGTTACAATTTATTCCACTTATGACCAAAAACGCTGCTCCCACAGGCTCAGATTGTACAACTCATGAATCAAAGTTATTCAGACCAGACCCGCCGACACAAATTTGGGGCCCCGGGGCAAGAACGATTATATTGGCCCCCCCTCCAATATAATAGGCAGAAGTTCTAATCCTGGGCCCCTAAGACCCTGGGGCCCGAGACAGCAGAGCCCTTTCAACTCCCCTGTTTAAGACTCCTGGAGTCTCACCTAATATGAAAAAGAAAACTGCATTTTTTTTATTTTTTATTTTCACCAAGTTTTGCGGTCAGAAGTTCTGTACGTGATTAAAACTGAAAAACAGAACTACTACAGAACTATTTAAAACAGTTTTGTAAGAGCTTTTCACAACTTTCAGACACTAGAGCAGAGTTTGCTGTCATGGTAATTCTAACAACAACTAGCATGCTAACGTGCACTTCCTGATTTTCAGACAGTAAAACGCCTCATATTTAGATATAATCCAGGAATGGTTATTACTGTTATATCTGTCCAGGAATTGGACCCACAACCTCTTTTCTGACATTTGAGCTTCACATTTCTGCACATTTGAGAACACACTGAGAACAAAACGACACTGACTTAATTCCTTTATGCTATAATAATAAAATAATACAATAAAATATATAAATAAATAATCACACAAAACACTTTGAAGCTTCTGGATATGGCTGGCAGGTTAGTTCTCATTATTATTTTACTTTAAAGTGCACTGTGTCACTTTTCTGGTGAAGGAAGCTGCTTGTCTCCATGGAGATGTCATTGCTTTGCCTGGAATGTTCCGCAGTATGGCTTTAAACTAATCCGGTGACGCCACTAAGTTAAGTTCCAGGTCAGATCTGTGGAACAACACATGATTTTCAAGGTAGATTTGAGCAATAAAAACAGCTGTAAGTACAGAAGTGAGATGAGGAGGTGACGATAGATGAACTTAAAGCCATACTGTGGGACATTATAGACAAAGCAGTGACATCTCCATGTAGACAAGCAGGTGGCAGACCCCCTTCCAGAAAGTTCCATAGTGCACTTTTAACATTAGACCTATTTTGTGTGACATTTCCCTCGTTCTGATTTGTACATAACTTTGTACAGAGCTCTCTTGTTTTTTCAATTGGTCATTTTGTATGGCGTATGAGATGTAAAAATATAATTCTTTGCTAATATATACCATTGAATTAGACGCATCTTAGGAAAATGAAATTGAAATTGCTTTTAGACGTAGGAAATGATGTTTTGTTTTTTATACCTATTTTGTTTGTCAAGTGAATCCAGATGACTTTGTTGAATGACATTGTTGTGATTTGGGCCGATGGACAGCTTTAAGACTTAACTGCACAGCCCTGGTTGGTTCTGTTTTTATTTGGATATTTAGAGGGTCTGTAGGTGTTTCCAATGGTGCTATTATACATTTAATCAAATCAACTAAGGATACAACCAGGATTCATAAACAGTTGGGATGCTTTGCAAAGTTTAAAATGAAAAACGCCCTGTTATGGTTTGCAAAGCTCATATTTTATTCACCATTTCATTCTGTTTTGTGAAGTAAGTTAGAAAGTACCCAAAATACTAATACTAGCAAGATAGTTCATTTGGTTTGGTTACAGGAGGAGGATGTTTAACACACAAAAACCCTTTTTCTCAAACTGAAAACACTCTGTTCCACCTTCACTCAAGTCATTTGGATGATTTCAGCCCTGGATTTTTTTTTCAGTTTCTACTAAACCAAAGGTAAAAGGAGCTGTTCACTTCAAAACTACCACTTCCTGAGCAGGTGGAACAGAGTATAACAGAGTAACAACATTATGACACAGCTTAAAGCTCACGAGAGTCCATTTTGTATAATATCAGACCTTGAAGAGGAAAGCAGGAGTCCCCTATGGAAAAACTAATACTCTAATATTTCACTATTTTCAGGGTCTCCAATCTTTTTCACTGACAATATTTGAAATCTTTTCTTCTTTTTCATGAGCTAAAGTGAATTTTCCATGACTTTACAGCACCTACATGTGTAGAACTGATCAGACTTTTAGGGCTAAATCTGAAGTGTGAACTCTTTCCTCTCACCTTATGGTTTAGGATTATAGTTCTGAACATTCTAAATCCTGTCAGTGCATTTCATATCATGAGAACATAACAGAACGCTGGAGTTGAGTGAAAGAGATACTAAAATTCTATGACTTTTCCAAAACTTTCATTGAATTTACAAAATTCCATGACTTTTCCAGGCCTTGAAAATGACATTTTCAATTTCCATGACTTTTCCAGGATTTTCATGACTGTGGGAACTCTGTATTTTGTCCATAGATCAAGATTAATAGCTCTGGCTAGTGTTACCGACAGGTTTGATTGACAGCGTTTCTAAGCGCCCGACCTCTGTCAAACCGGCGGTGTGGGCAGGACGGGACGTCACTGTGGATTTATAATAAAACCTGGATAAGACGTTCCCCTGTGTCCCGGCTCCAGACAGACTAGTGGTCGCTCCAGGTACTGCAGCTTCCAGGAGCTTGAACCCAGAAAGAATTCTCTCTCAGAGCACTTTTCTATTTTCACATCATTAACTAAAAGTGGTCTTTGTCAGACTGGCCCCCCTCTGAGCTGCTCAAGATCTGCTCTAGCACCGCTCGCTCTGATTGGTCCAGGGTTCAGCTTCAGGTTTTATTAGAGTTCTATGGGCGTTACCTTCAATAACTTCACTTCTGATTGGCTCTTTAGTTGTTATGACACTCACAAATGTAATTCCAAATATGGGACTCAACTCCAAATTCTCCCCTGTAACTGTGAGCCTCGATCAGCTTTATTTGACTGAACACTGTGGGTGCTCAGTCAACATAAAAAACATGACAGTGACATTTTATACCACAAAACACTGACGAAAACAAGAAAAAAAGATAAAAAAAATTATGTGTAATGAAATGTGCAAACCATTGCCTGTTGTTTCCATTTGACTTTGTCTTCAGCTTCCCAACTTGACCTGAATCTTGTTGTATTTTGTTCGCAGAAAGTCTGGACAGTTTTTTACGTTTTTCCTTCCATATAGTCTCATTTCACTCCTATAACTGTATTAACAAAACCATTTTAACTTTGTACTTGAAAAAATACGAAACTCTCTTTCCTCTATTGTTTTAGACTAGCGTTTGCTGTAGTCGGTGCATTATCGTGTGAGAAAAAGAAACTTGTAGCAATGTA